GAGATCATCTCTGCCTGTAGAAAGTTTCCAATTAACAAGTAAACTCTAGCTGCAAAGAAAAAAAAATTGAGTTATGAATACAAAAAAAAAAATCGAAGAAAAACAAAATGGACAGAAACGACTTATCGTCTAATCTGCTTAAAATCAATGGAGTATCCATCCAGAACCGGAAGTCAGCTACAAACACCACTTCCGGTGGTATCATTTACTTTAGTGTGTATCCCGATTGTCTCCAAGGCAACTTAAACGCCTATCTACAGTAAATGTTGTACGTGTCACCGGGTTAAAATTAACCTATAGGAAGAAAAACGGACAAATGAAAAAAAAAATAAAATAAAAAAAAAATGAGCGATTTGTCTGCTAGTAATTTGCACATGGAAATGTTTTACAAATGGGGTTATATTAGCGAAATATCATTACTTGTAAGAAGCATGCCAACTGCGCATGACCGGACGTGCAGACGATCATTCAAATGCGTATATCTGCCGGAAGCGCAAAATATAACACAGCAAGCGCGAAATATCAATGATTAATAAGGTCTTTAAGCGAGTGAAGCCTGGGCGACTTGGCAAAGATCATTATTCTTGGAGCGTCGTGGACTGGCACTACAGATGCACAAACAAAGAACTGTACCAAATAACCGAAAGTACACCTCTTGAGGTCTACCGACAGCAGAAACAACTAAAATGGATAGCATATGTAACTTGACATTCCACACGACTACAAATAATAGATTTGGAAGGAAACCTCCATCGATATTGGATAGTCCTGTGTGTGACGATAAACTAAATTCGTTAGCAAGGTTTCTGATTATAGGCTTTGAGGAGCGTGGAACCACATCTTAATTTATGCTGTTCCCAGGTACATTCTTACCCGGGGTGGTAACACCAGTTAAGGTCCCAGCTATGAGCATACGGGGAACCCCGAAACAAAAACAAAACAGTATTTACATTAGTCGGACTATTGTCCTCATCTTTGTCGCCATATTTGTCACAACGTTTCGGCCGTTGTACGCTCCGGCCTTCTTCAGGTGGTTGGAATTTCGAACTGAACCCTTTATTTCGATCGCTGGGGTAGACTGTTCTAATTCCACGTGCCATGTTTGATGGATGTCAGTTATCAGTTATCTCCTGCTAATTTTCCCTCTGAAAGTTCTCCACTGCCTTAACCAGGAATTGAACTCACCTTCTTTGGGTCTGTCACTGGATATAACCAACGCCTTTATCCACTGTGCCATGTGTCCTTGAGGACACATGGCACAGTGCGTACAACGGCCGAAACGTTGTGACAAATATGGCGACAAAGATGAGGACAATAGTCCGACTAATGTAAATACTGTACATAATACCTCATCTCAGAAATATAGACAAAAACAAAACACTATAAAAGTATAGAAATACATTTTTATATTAAAAATAGCAACAATATATTTTATATCAAAATGACCATCTGCAGTTGAAGGCAGACAACTGAACTCAAAATCTTTAAATTTCGTCATTAAATAACCCATAGAAATTTATATGGCGCTAAATAAAAACAGAAAACCAAACAACTAGCAATACTAGAAAAAGCGATAATAGCTATTGTGCTTGAAAAGCGTATATTCCTCGAAAAATATGTTTTAAGAGAAAGATTTTTATAAATTTCAACCGAAAGCAGTACTCGCTGCTCGGTCAATGAATGCCAAATGTTTCCTTATAGGGAAACGGCTAATATCAATACTGGAAAGAGTGATAACAGCTACAGGATTTGAGAAACCTCTTTTCCTAAAAAAAATGTTTTAAGAGAAAAAATTTATAAATTTCAACCGGATTTCAACTGGCTGTTTGGTCAAAGAATGCCTAATATTTCCTTATAGTCAAACGGCTAATGTCAATATTAGAAAAAGCGATAACAGCTACTAAACTTGAAAAACCTTTTTTACTGAAAAATTGTTTTATGAGAAATGAACTTATAAATTTCAACTGAAAGCAGTACTGGCTGATCGGTCAATGAATGCCAAATGTTTCCTTGTAGGGAAACGCTTAATATCAAAGCTGGAAAGAACGATAACAGCTACTGGACTTGATAAAAACATTTTTTCTGAAAATTTGTTTAAAGTGAAAGATTTTACAATTTTCAAACGAAAGCCGTACTAGCTGATCGGTCAACAAATGCCAAATTGGGAAACAGCTAATGTCAGTACTAGAAAGAGAGATAACAGCGACTGGAACTTTCCTTAAAATTTGTTTAAAGAGAAAGATTTTATAAATTTCAAACGAAAGCAGTTCTGGTTGATCGGTCAATGAAGGCCAAATGTTTCCTTATAGTGAAACAGAGAATGTCAATACTGAAAAGTGCGATAACAGCTACTGGACTGGATAAACTTATTTTCTTGAAAAAATGTTTTAAGAGATAGGTTGTTGTTATAGAGTAGTTTTCACAGTGGAGGCTTGTATTTCACTAAGTCGGTCTTAAATTAGGTTCGACGTACAAAACGTTAGGAACTTGCAATAATAGTTAATAACGCAACAATCTAGCTGTGGGGCTCATACTTTAATGTCCGACATCGACTGACTCACTCAACTCACTCAACTTCACTGCGACTGCTACTACTACTACTACTTATCTGTGGGAGAGTCTATTTACAATAGAAATAGGTACGTTCCGGGATAACAGTTGTATAAAGTTCATCCTAAAACAGTATTGGCTGCTCGGTCAATGAATTTCAAATGTTTCTTTGTATTTTAATAACAATCATAAATATATGAATGCTGGTCGTTATTTTTAAGAAGTAAGGGGGTACAAATAAAAAAAAATTGAAATTGACAATTTTCTATTTCACTGAAACAGTCTTTAAACACTTGTCTTCGCTCCTTTTCTTTCTTTCTTTCTTTCTTTCTTTTCTTACAATTTCTCACTAAAACCAATTCGCTTCTCTAATATGTCTTTTGTTTTAGCACGCAATCAAAATGGAATATTTCATTCTGTATTCGGTATTAGCAAGCAGACACTAAACAATGTCTGCTTGCTAATAACAATCTATCTTCCCTTCTTTCTTTCTTTCTTTCTTTCTTTTTTCTTTTTTTCTTTCTTTTTTTCTTTCTTTCTTTCGTCCTTTCTTTCGTCCTTTCTTTCTTTCTTTGTTTCGTCCTTTAATTTTTTTTCTTCATGAAAAAATCTAAAATGCCTTCACCCGCTTTGTTTAGCAGAATTTTAGCAGATATCAAAGTGTAGTATCCGGTTTTATCAATGTTTTTAATCTGATTCTTTTTTTTCTTTTCTTTCTTTCTTTCTTTCTTTCTTTCTTTTTTTTTTTTCTTTCTTTCATCCTTTCTTTCTTTCTTTCCTTCTTTCTTTCTTTTTCTTCATGAAATCAAGTAATGCCTTTACCCACTTGTTTTTATCAGATTTTAATCTGATTTTATTTCTCCTTCTTTCTTTCTTCCATCATTCTTTCTTTCATCATTCTTTCTTTCTTTCTTTCTTTCTTTCGTCCTTTCTTTCGTCCTTTCTTTCGTCCTTTCTTTCGTATTTCTTTCTTCATGAAAGCAAGTAATGCCTTTACACGCTTCACGGCTTTTTAGCAGATATCAAAGTGTAGTATCCGGTTTTATCAGCTTTTAATCTGATTCTTTCTTTCTTTCTTTCCATCTTTCTTTCTTTCTTTCTTTCTTTCTTTCTTTCTTTCTTTCTTTCTTTCTTTCTTTCTTTCCCGAAAGCAAGTAGCGCGTTTTTCTCTCTTTCACGCGATCAATACGGAATAGTCCATTATTTATGAATTATTAGCAGGGCGTAACTAACTCAAAAACTATGAAAAATAAAGGGGAGATGCCGAATTATTATATATATTTATTTATAAATTTAAAGATATATATATTATAAACGTGACTACTTATTTTGCAATATATTTTTTTGTCTTTTCATTTAGCGTGTATTTTTTTTTTTAATATTCATTTCAGTTTTTTGAATGAGCAGACGATCTCCATCGTTGTTAATATAAACTATATCGACTTTTAAACGAAACCGTTGTTTACCATTCGCAACGAATAAGTCGCAAACTGATAAGAGGCTCGTAATATGTCAGGGTAAAGACTGAATATAAACGGGGTACTTGAGGAAAGGATAAAAAGACGAACGGAGGACGAAAAAAAACAGTAGAACGATAATCAAGGCAACAGAAGATGTCGATTGACTTTACATTTAAATTTTGGAAGATTATAGTTATCAGGGAAACAAGTAAGAGGAAGGAAGTTCTGCTGTCGGGAAGTGCAAGAGAAGAAGCTGTTGGAGTAGAAGAGGCAGTTTCATTTAACTATTTCGACAGTAAAAGGGTGGGACAGAGATGCCAACCTAGTAGTACGCTTAAATTCATTCAGTCGTGGGACCAGTGGAAATGGTTCATCAGAGCAGATGCCATGAAAATATTTATAGGAAAGACAGAGGGAGGTCACATTACGTCTGTGAGAAAATGACTGCATCAATGCCCCAAATCAGGGCCGATCACATTACATATCCGATGAGGATGAATAGTCCGAATAATGTAAATAGTGTACATAATACCTCATCTCAGAAATATAGACACAATTCCCGGGGTTTCCAATAACTGACAATATCTTTCAGCTAAATTGTTTATTGATCAGTTTATTGATTGATTTTTATGGCTTATCAACCTTTGTAATTTATTTAAAGCCAGAAAACCTTTTTAGATTGTAAGAATTTTTGGAGGGATAATAATCATACATATTCTACTACTTAACCCATGGTTGGGGAGAAGAGGTGGGTTCATGCCTTTCACAGAAGTATTTACGCACATGAATATACGAACCCAACTGGAATTGGGACTTGGCTCTCCGATTAACAATTCCGAGCTATTACTCAGGACACCACCCGCGCATCCAAGCTTACAGCACCTGGTATTCCCTAGCGCGAAGAAGATTTGGATTCATGCCTTTCGCAATTGTATTTGTGCATAAGTGAATATAACAAACCCAACGATAATTGTCACTTCAAATCCAAACTTACAGCACTTGGTATTCACAAGCAGTTACCCATCTACGTACTGGCCAAGCTCGACGTGGCTTAACTTCGGCGATAGTACGGAAACCGCAGTTTCAACATGAAGTGCCCGCAAGCCCTTTATACCATACGTACATCCAACCTCACGGCACCTGGTATTCCCAAGATGTTACCCATCAAGGTATTGACATTCACGACGTTGCTTGACTTCAGCGATGGTATTTAAGTTTAAAGCGGTGTTTCAACATGATATGGAAAAAAAGCATTTTATACCACACTTAAATGCAAGTAAAAAGCACCTGGTATTCCTAAGCTGTTTTAAATGCAGAAATAATGTCACCAAATTGTTATTTTAAGTTCAACGAATAAGCGAAGCAATGTTTTGAACATGATTTGGCCGCAAGCTCTTTATACCACACGTACATCCAAAACTCAGGGCATCTGATATTTCCAAGCGGTTACTCATATAGGTACTGACCATGGTCGACGTTGCTTAACATCGGCGATCCTACGGGAACCAAAGTTTCAACGTGATACGGCCGTAAACCGCCAAACCTGTAAGCATAGGCTCATTAAGAAATGCCTTCCATTCAAGTAACCTAGTAACCTAGAAGAATTTTTATTTATATTAATTTTGGGGTTTCACCTATGTATTCCGTGGTGCAATACAAAACAAAATAATATAAATATATATATGTGTGGATATAATATATATATATATATATATATATATATATATATATATATATATAAAATATGAATGAATTAATTGATCCTTTGGTATGAATTTTTTTCTTTTTTTCACCATATGGTCAGTTTTAGACCCACTGGGTGACAGTGTTTAATCGATTTTTATTTTTTCCTCAGATTAGGTTATTTGCAGTGGTGGTGTGCAGTAATATGAATCTCTTTATACCACACGTACATCCAAGCTCAATGCAACCTGGTATTTCCAAGCGGTTACCCATCTAGGTACTGACCACCTCGATGTTGCTTAACTTCAGCGATCGTACGGGAAACGATGTTTCAACATGATGTGCCCGCAAACTCTTTATACCACACATACATCCAAGCTCACTGTAACTGGTATCTACTAGCGGTTACCCATCGAGGTACTGACCATGCTCGACGTTGCTTAACATCGGCGATTGTACGGGAACCAATGTTTTAAAGTGCTGCGTCCGTAAACCACCGAACCTGTAAGGTTAGGCTCATTAAGAAATGCCTTCCGTTCAAGTAACATAGACCGCTTAGACGTTTTCCTTGGTTGCCTCATCTTTGAAATTTGCAAGAAAACAAATATTCGATCATGATACTTCTCTTCTACTCCCGCTCATGAGCAGATATGTGCAGTTTAACAGCTCCAAGAGAACAATCCCAACTGGCAAAGCTCAGGCAAACCTGTTATAATCAATGGAATATACCATAGACCACCTTAATTTAAAAAAAGACAATTTAATTATTTACACTACATTCTTGTGGAAATTAATTGAAACAACCGCTTTAGTTTCCTTTCTTTTCACCATATGGTCAGTTTTAGACCCACTGGAGTGACAGGGTGTAATCGATTTCTATTTTTTTTCCTCAGATTAGATCATTTGCAGAGGTGTGCAGTAATATGGTGTGCAGTAATATGAATCTATTTTTAGGGTGTATGATGAAATTCGTTTGGCCTTGAAAAATATTGCGTGATTGCATCAGATTTTCATCACGCCCAGACACTATTGTCTCGACTGTCGATTAGTTGTCCTACGGCCATTCTCTCCAATGGACTTTACTCCAAGGAAGCGTACGAAAATTGTAACGAACGCACTAGCAAGCCTTACCAGTGGGCAAATCAAAGTACTATAGACTGGCCCGGCTACTCTCCTGATTTTAATCCAATCGAGAATCTGTGGTGAATCCACAAGGAAAGACTTCGTGGAATGGACATACAAAGTACTAGCATGAGCACTGGGTCATGTTTCATTGGAAAAATACCAAAAAAAAAAGTAAATAGTAACGGAATTATTCGTTTTCATTCAGTTAATTTGCACAGGGGTGTATTTACACGTGGACTATTGTACTCATCTTTGTTGTTGTCACAACGATTCAGCGATCTTATTGGAAGCGTTGTCTTAACGTAATATGGCTGTAAGTCTTAAATTGTGTATTAGATCACGTGAAGTTCATATAAAAGCCTGTATAATTTTTTCTGATCAAATCAGTTATTCTCATAAACGCGTAGCGTCATTATTCAGTCAGCAAAGTTTATCGCGGCATTAGCTTTTATCCGCTGTTCCACGGTAAGCATATAGGCAGTTTATTTGTTTTTCTGCGTCTGGCACAAGGTCTGATTGTCGGAGCGCCGAGTAAAGATTAGTGCACTAGATGAGCTCGCTGACCATAGCGATACAATTGGTGCTGTTTTCTCATTCCTTTTCTCTCTCTGTCGCGAACATACACGCACACATGCATATATATATATATATATATATATATATATATATATATATATATATA